TCTTGTTGCTTTCATAACATTGATAGTGACTTGATGTCCTATCACAGATCTATTCGCTGGGCTCCTGTCTCCAGTAGAAGGTAGGCCCCCAAGGCCTAGTCTTCCAAGTTCTAAAGCAGTGCAGGGAATGGTGCTGGCCCTCGGGCACAAGCGGAATGGAAGGCAGAATCAACACGTATGGCTTTTATCAGGTATTCCTATTGTTTTGCACTGTTACTTGACATTAGCCCAACTATTTGGGTTGGGGAGGGGTGGGCAGCAAAGCAGCCCACTGAGCTGTCCCTAAAGGGAACAGCCACAGGCCCTGGGGAACACGGTGTGAAAACCACAGAGGAGGGAGGCAACCACCGGGCCTGCAGCATTTCTAAGGCAGTGATTCTACTCAAGGGGAAGTGGGAGGCATGTGAAACTCCCTGACTGGCTCTAAACCTACCCCCACCCCAAGCAGAGGCCTAAGAACCTCTCTTATGGCAAAAGGCATCTGCTGAAAGTCTAAATCTGTCCAAGCTGCTCCTCAGAGGGTGCTGCAAGGCTCTGAGTAACCCAGCCCCTCCCCTGTCCTTCACTCACCCTGGCCCTGCACCTCACCAAACTCGGCCTCACTGGGACTTTTGTGCTGTGATTCTCCCCAACACCCCAAGGCTATTCCGTCTCCTGTCTCCTTTTCCATCTCAGAGGCCTCCCTGACAGCTCACCTAAAGAAGCACCAGTCACATTTGATTCTAATTCACTGCCTAGCCCCTCCCTTTAACCTGCCCCTTATTTATTCACCAGGTTTCGGGTTTGTCTCCCTTGGCTCCACAGGGCCTTTGTCAAGTACACCCCTGAATCCCAAAGAGCTGGAGCAATGCCAGCCATGCAGCAGGAGCTCAATGAATGGTGGATGAATGAAAACTTTTCCTCAGCTCTACAATGCCTTCAGGATCAAATCCACACTTCTCCACCAGGCCTGCCGGGCTCTACGAAGCCTGGCCCAAATCTACATGCACCTTCTCCAACTCTCCCTGCCTCGCCTTCTGTCTTGCAGCCTTCCAAAGAGCCATTCCCACCAATGCTGGGGGCTGTGATGGAGATTCAATAAGAATGCACAAAGGGAGCCCTGGCTGGTGTAGCTCAGCAGACTGAGCTCAGGCTGGGAACCAAAGGGTCTCCAGTTCAATTCCCAGTCTGGGCACATGCCTGGGTTGCAGGCCAGGTAGAAAATGCCAGGGAGAAAAACCACACACTGATGTTTTTCTCCCTTTCCCAATAATAAATAAAAATCTAAAAAAAAAACAAAACTGCATACAGGGAAGAAGAGAGTTTAGCAGAGACCAACATCTACAGAGGAGCTGGAATCCAGACTCAAAAGGGCTCTAGGCAGCAATCGTGTGGAAGAAAGATGGGTCCTGGGCACTGCGTTTTCCAGTCTTTATTTGATTATATGTCCCTCCCACTCCCAACCCTCATCTAAAAACCAGAGATGCTAATTTTGGCCATGTCCTCCTCCTGGTGTTATCTGACAAGGCTCTGTAACTTGAAAAGCACCTTCAAAATCCTAGCAAAAATAAGAATTACAGTTGCTAAGCTATCCTAGGGCTCACCAGGAGTCAGGTACTCTTGTTAAATACAGTGAGAGCAGGATGTTTACTGTAGGCTTACTGTTAGAACTTCCCAGTTATAAATGCTTTCCACAAACTAAGCCATTTAACCTTCACAACCTATCAGCGGAGAATCAGCAGCAGCCCATAACACAGATGATGAGAAGGGCTCAGAAGGGCTGAAGAACCTGCTGAAGGTCACACAGACCAGTGAGTAAAAGGGCTGGATTTGAACCCAGTGCTCTGAATCACACAGTGAAGCTCTTTACAGAGGTCAGAGACCAGGACACCAGATTCCTGAATCCTGGTGGGGCGGGGCTGGGGGGCTGGATAGCGGGATGCTGCAGAGGGCTGAAGGTGGGGTGCTGATGCCCTCGGGACTGCTGACTAAGCATTTACACAGTGCCAGGTGCTCTTTGAGGAGCTTCTCATGAATTAGCTCATTTAACCCCCACGACAGCCTGAGATGGGTGCCATTCTGAGCCCACTGCACAGAAATTAACCCTGCGGCCCATGGTCACACAGCCAGAATGTGAAAGCGCCAGAACGTGCACGCCTGCCCACTACACCATCCTTCTGTAGAGACTTCTAACACAGGCGCCCTGTGTCGCCCCTGCATATTGCTTTTACTGTCTTCTCCCAGCCCCCAGCACACACTGTGCCCTGGATTAAAAGATGCTCTGGCTCAACTCTGAAGACAGACCTAGTTCCACCAGTGAGCCAGGACTGCTGGACCGGCTCCTGACAGAGGTGCTCACAGCTGCCCCAGGCCCTGTGGACAAGAGGAAGGAAATGACCATGGGTGCAGCTGGTAGGGTCCAAGGCAGGGGTTTTGAGGTGACAGATATCCACTCCAGCTTGGGAGCCAGTGAGCTAGGAATACACGACACCAGGGACAAGCAGATATACCTTCAAACCCCAGCCTGGCCCCCTAGGTCTGACAGACCTAAGCAAGGCAATGCCTCCTCTAAACCTCAATTTCTGACCCTGCAAAATGACAGAAACACCATATCCACCTCTGGGTGCAAATAAACCACTGTTCCAGTTACTTGTTGACAAGAGGTTCATTCTGAGGCCACATGGGGCCAGGGGTTCACATCCCAGCTCTACCACTTCTGGCTGTGAGACCTGGGGCAAATTATTTCACTTCACAGCGTGTCTCAGTTTCCCAGTATCCTCATCTGTGAAACTGGTATCATACTTCTCCTTACCTCCTAGGGGTCCATAAAATGGGCACAACCAATACCTAACACACAGGGGTATTTTGAGAATTAAATGAGATCATGTGTGTAAAAGGCTTGTCACATTCCTGACATATGGTGAATGTTTAATAAACACTGGCTGTTCACTAGCTCTGGAATGATTTTCCTCTTTGTGCCTCAGTTTCCCCTTCTAAAACAGAGCATAGCAACAGTACCTACAGTTCTAAGATGTGAGTATTCAGCAAGTTGGTCCATGTGAGGCATTCTGAACAGTGTAAGGCGCATGGAATGCATTCAATAAATGTCAACCATCAACCTCATGGTTATTGTTTTTATTGCTGCTTTTAACCCCATCCAGCAAACCCTCTAAAACTAGCAGGAGGAAACCAGAGGAACAAACCCCAGCAGAGAATAATTCTACAGAGCCACCATGGCCTCCCTGAAGACACTCAGGGACCATTCTCTCTACGCAGCACAGCCCATGGGAGCCAATCAGCTTAGAAGCTGATGCCATGGACCAGACGTGACCACCCACCCCTTTAGACCACATCCCGGTTAGACTTCGCCCTGCCCTTCAGGAACTCCAGACCTGGGGGCAAAGGTTACCTACCAGTCAAGCCAAGGTCACAAGCTGGCCTAGGGAGCAGGGGGCAGTGGCCTCCCATCAGCGGGCTGCTCCAAGCACCCACCCAGCAGGCAGAGTGAGAAACAGATCCGTGAGGAATCTGGCTGTCCCAGGCCCTCAGAAGGGCATGCAGAGAGGGCATGCCCTCCCTGGATCAGGCTGCGCTAGGTCCCCTTGGCCTATGCAAAGAGGAACAGCTGGGAAAACAGTGTTTAGCCTCATTGCCACCCACTGCCACCTAATTGATGAAGCCAACTGTTATTCCCTGGTGGGGAGTGCAAACATGATGGGCACCTGGACAGCTAACCAGGGAGACACAGTCAGCCTCAAGAAAGATGGAGGGGCATGCAGAGAGTGGTGCCTGACTCCTTCACACCTAGCCCCAACCAAGGTCAGGCCCTGACTGGACTCCCCATGCTTGTCTGAGACCAGAAAAAGGGACAAGGCTGAATGGCAGTTCATGGAGGACCTAATTATTCCAGTACATACCTCTGGCTGAGCCCAATCGGCCTCCAAATCAGAGGAAGGGGGACCTCCAAATCCTAAGGATCAAGATGTCTCCAGCCACTTTGCCCTGGGAGAGGTGTCCCACCAAACACTCCTTCCTCCAAAGTCTTAAGCCGGTCCGTGAGCACAGCTCCCTAAATCCAAGCTCACTACCTCTTCTGCTCCCTAAATGGAGTCAAAAGCTCAGAAAACTTCAAACAGCGGCCCTTAACACATTTCCCCATACCCTATGGAAAGAACGTGCCACAGAGGTGTCTGTCCCACACACCTTAAAACAAAGTGTAATAATAGGAAATTGTGGGGTAGACAGCAGTCCAGGGTCCACACAGTCCCTTCCCCCAAAGTTATTAAGTTCAATAAAGGACGATCCTCCTCCAACTCAGTGTAAACCCCAAGCTCCACCCACCAAACACAGAAGGCCGAAACCCCTCCTGATTACTAGCATTAGAGCCCTCCCAAAACACTCCCGTCAACGTCGTCTTCGGCCTGCCCTGTGTCTCAAAGATTATAAACATCACAGCCCTACTACTTTGATGTAGCGCTCTCTACTTTCTGGGGGTGGCTCCCCCGCAGCGCCTCATTGGTATAACCCAGACGTAGCTACCCGGACCACACTTGGTGTACAGATCCCTCCCCCAAAACCTCCACCTCTCTCAACGAGTTACAGAACCTGCTCCCACTGCCCCAAGTAGGTCTAGCCTCCTCTATTTCGTAAGGCGCGCCCCCTCAGTGACTTAGTGCTCGCCCACCAGGCATGCTCTCAGTTCACAGCCCACGAGTTCAGCCCCAAGCCCGCACATGCTAGGGTCCGGTCTACAATGGTTCGGTCCTCGCACTTTGGTACGCGCCCCCCCCCCGGGCCGCTTCAGTGGTGCGATCCGCCGCCCCCGTCCCCGGCCCCTCAGGGCTAGAGCCCCCGCCCCCGCGCAGACACCCCCACTCATTCCCGGAAGGGGGGACTCGAGGGCCGCGGTCCCCTCCCAGCAGGCACTGGTGGTACGGCCCAGCGCAGCACCGCGGGGGGGGTCCCGACGCGACCACCGCGGGGGCGGGAGGGTGTTTGGGGACACGCACTGGCGCGCTCACCTGTCACCGGCAGCCGCCCAGCCTCTCCGGCGGGGCTCTACTCCCGCCCATCACCACGCTGCGTTTGATCCTGCTGCTGTGTCTCCTGGCGGCAGTGGCGGCAGCAGCGGCAACGCCTTCTCCGAGCCAGGCCCAACGGCTCGCGCGGCGCGGCCCCCCCGCCCCCTCCCCCAGCCCCCGCTTACCGCCCCGTCCCACCCACTGGCCGGAAATACCGCCTTCTCCCGCAACAACAGGAACTGACGTGAAGCGGGAGCTAGACCCGGAGAGCGATAGAGCGCAAGCGCAACAAAAGGCGGCAGTGGACTTAAAGCAGAACGCCTCCGTACAATAGGCAAGTTTGGGCCGGCGTGGGTTAGTGATGGGGCTCGCGCAGGCGCCGAAAGAAAAGAACGGATAGGACTGAGCAGGCGCAGTAGGACTCTGACCGACGCCCGCTTTCCCTAGAGGCTAGCAGCAGTGGTGTTTCCCGACAGCCCCTGTTCCTTATTTGCATAGGCTTTGATCTTGTTTTACTTGGCTCTCGCTTTTCCTCCCGGTTCCGAGGCTCTTAAAGGGCCCTGGACGTGGGGTTAGGAGGGATTTCCTCTTCAGTATGTCCCTCACGGTTGAGCTCAGGTTGAGCTCAGGCTCTGAAACCCAGCTTTGCATTTTCTTACTAGTGATGGGTAAAAGGCTCCACTGTTTTGTGTGTGTGTGTGTATGCTTCCGTACCAACATCTGCCAAAACAACCTACGTAAATGGGCTATTAGACTATTTTATGTAAACAGAACAATTTATATCAATTAGACATTCTATGACTCAAAAATACTCTTATCTGCTCATCATACATGCAATTAAATACGGGATATAACTTTTTTTATGGGCTAACTTGGGCCGATAAAGACCTTAAAATGACCCTGCAAGAAAAGAGTTTTGTACGCATTCTGGCCCATTTGTGCTAGTATATTACACAGCTGTGAGACATCTGGTTCCCAGTCCCGTCTCTTGCATAGGTTGGGTGGAGCATGTTAGTTTATGAATTTGGGTTTCAGTATGCCGCACAGCTTGGCAAGTAAGCATTGGTTATCCTGAGTTCACCTAAGTCTGCGAGAGTGTTTCGGTCAAGCCCTGCGCAGAGATGGGCCTTAGGTAAACCTAACACTATGGGTTTCCAGCTTGGAACTCGCTGCTCTGTATTCCTAATTCATGGTCCTGCCCCCTTCACAGTGTTGATAACTCTGAACAGTGCCTCCATCACTACAGCCCTGACCAGTCGAGAGTCTTTGACAGGTCTCTGTCCACGGCACAGAGAGCCCCAAGAGGGAAAAGACCAAGGCAGTCACAGTCGTCACTGTGTACTTAGCAAAGGGCCTGGCACCGAGTGGGCTTGTGGGGAATTTTTGTTTCAAAAATTAGCCCTTCTGGCCCTGGCTGGTGTAGCTCAGTGGATTGAGCCCGGGCCTGCGAATCAAAGGATCGCGGGTCAATTCCCAGTCAGGGCACATGCCTGGGTTGCAGGCCAGTTCCCATCAGGGGACTCATGAGAGGAAACCATACATTGATATTTCCCTCCCTCTCTCCTTCCCTTCCCCTCTAAAAATAAATAAATAAAATCTTAAAAAAAAAAAAAAAGAATTAGCCCTTCTGCTCCAATCTAGACTCTGTGGCCTACCCTCTTCTTCCTCTGCATGCTGAGCAGCTCACAGCCCATTCCCCTACCTCGCAGTCTCCCAGGACAACTCAAATCCCTGCCCCTCCTGGGGCACAGATGGTTTATCTCACTGAGCCCTCCAGTGTGCTTGTGTATACACTCCTTGGGGTCCTTGTAGTCCAAGGTAATCGCTTCCAAACTATTAGAAGGTCTAGCACACATGTATGTACACTTACAGTATAATGAAACAAAAGTCACCAAATACTGCTTACCTTTACATGTGATGCACTCTGATATTTAATTTTGTTTTCGGTGCTGTACGAGACCCTGTGGAACTGATTTTCTGAACCACAGATGGGTCAGGCCTTGCAGTTTGAACAACACTGTGTAGGGATGGACGGCGTTCACTGACTTTGGAGATGGACAGGCCCCAGTTCTAATCATGCCTTCCCTATGTTCTTGTCAAAATAATTTCACACCTCTGTGCCTACCTTTCCTTGTTGCAAAGTATCGATAAAATTTATTTAGCACTGGTTATGGGCCAGGTTCTGTTCTTAACACGGTCCTGTCAGTGCTGTCCTGTAGCTGTCGACATAATCTTGGAGGTTAGTGCAGCAGCACTGGAGTGGAGGTGGGATTTGAACCCTGGCAGTCTGATACAAGAACCTGTGCTTTGCACCTAGATTGATACTACGCAGAACAATGGGAAGTACTGGCCCTACCTTTGTCCCCTGTGTTGCTTTGGTAAAACACTTACCTATCATTCTAGGCCTCAGTTTGTCAATTTCCACGTCAAGGGTGATTGAGGAGAAAACTCCCTAAGACACCAAATTGTTCTCTACCCTCTAATCTGTTCTGTGAACTCCCCTCCCATAACTGTAAATACGGGCCGTCCATGAGTTTTCCTGAGGGGGAGGGCTGGTCACTTCTCATCTGAGGTCTGCTCAAAGGTCTCTTGATTCAGAAAAAAATGATTTAAGGATCCTGCCCCGAAGGATGGAAAGGACATCTCCTCAAAGCTCCTTTGTGTCCCCAAGGAGCAGACATCAGCCCACGGAGTCCATTTCAACCCTCCTCGCGGAGATTGGGCTCCTGGTGGTGATTGGACAAGCCACACAGACCAGCTCTTAAAATCCCCAAGTGGAGAGGCTTCCACTCATCTCCAGGAGGGCTGGGGGCCGCCCCCTGGCAGTGGTGGACATGGCCATGAGAGGTGGAGCCTCTCTCCCACAGGGGCGATCGGGAGATGAAAGCAGAAGGAATGAGAATTCCCCCTGTCTTCATCCTACACAGAGCTGTTTCAGGGGAGAAAGTCCATCGCATTGATCAGATTCTCAAAGAAGTCTGGCATCGTTAAGAAGGAGTTTTTATTTAAAAGCATTTCCCATGTTATACAGAAATGTTGAAAGATCTTTGACTCCCCAGCCAGAAGTGACAAAGCCCCACCCTAGAGGCTACTGTGTTAGGAAGATCCTTTCAGAGTCATTTTAAGTGTTTGGCAAAAGTACAGATGAGCCTCAGGGATTCTGTAAATGTTGGTTCCAATTTTCCTTTTATGAACTACGTTTCTCTTTCAAAAATTGTAGTAGAAGACAGCACACACATTCAATTTTTTAACACATGGGAGATTCTGAAAACATGACAGTGGTTGTGCTGAGCTAATGCACTTTGGGGCAGACTTTAGGATGAGACTTTTTCTACGGCCTTTAAGATGGAACACCTGATGGTTGCCAGATGGGAGGGGTGTGGGGGAAGAGGTGAAGAGTGGAGGGGATTAAGAAGTACAAATAGGAAATTACAGAGTAGCCATGGGGATGTAAAGTACAGTGTGGGACATGGAGCAGCCAAAGAACCTATGCATGACCCACGGACGTGAACAGTGGTGAGGGGATTGTCTGGGAGATTGGGGGGTACTGGGTGGAGGGGGGCAAAGGGGGAAAATTGGGACAACTGTAATAGTATAATCAATAAAATATAATTTTTAAAGAAACCATTGAACACCTTATTGATCTGCTCAGACACATAGATGGCTCCCCATCCCATGTGGAATAAAAGCTAAAGGCTTCACCACGGCCTTCAGGGCCCTCCATGAGCTGCCCCGTGCCCCACTGTGTTCTAGCACACGAACCCCTCCTCTACACACACCCCCACCCCCCACCAAAAGACAAGCTTATTCTTACCTTAGGGCTTTTGTACTTGCTGTTCCTTTTGCCAAGACTGTTCACCCCTGATTCTGATTTTTTGCGTGACTGGCTCCTTCTTGTCTTTCAGAATCCATTGCAAATTTCAACTCTTTGGAGGGATTTTGCATGGCCACCCTAAATCCAAAACAACCAGGCTGTCACTATCTCTGTAGATTTTTTGAATTCCCTACCTAGCACTTAACACTAAAGAATTTTAAAGTTTGCCCTGGCTGGTGTAGCTCAGTGGATTGAGCTCGGGCCTGCGAACCTCAGAATCGCGGTTCAATTCCCAGTCAGGGCACATGCCTGGGTTGCAGGCCGGTTCCCTGCAAGCCAGTTCCCAGCAGGGGACACACGAAAGGCAACCATACATTGATGTTTCTCTCCCTCTCTTCCTCCCTTCCCCTCTAAACATAAATAAATAAAATCTTTTAAAAAAAAGAGGAAAGCTACAATCTTTATTAAAAAAAAGTATTTGTTGACTGACTGTGGTTCTGCTTTGGAAGGTTAAAGTTCTGTACTGGGGTGACTTTTACTTCAGGTCTGAACGTGCCTATTTACAAAAAGTTGGACAAACAGTACTAATCTCTTAACCTTTGTTGAAGAACTCCCACACACCAGGCACAGTGCTAGGAACTGTGCGTGACCTTGTTAAATGTTCCTGCAGGTAGAAGTCTCTGTGAAGTCTATTGTGTGGAAATCAACACGGGCCGGAGAGGCCAAATGTCACAGCCAGAACATCTTGCCACCTGGATTCATTCCCAAAGATGTCTCAGGCCAATCCACACTTACCCACAACACTGGACTTAACTAGTGTGGATCCAGATTGCAGATACAGCAAAGTCTCACTTTATACTAAGTTAAAGTATGTGGATTTGAAACAGCAAAATACTTGAAACAGAGTTTCTCACATTACTAAGAAAATGGAAATTATATGAATATCATCTCTTTTTTAGATCATCCAGAAGGACTTCAGGCCTGGCTAGTGAGGCTCAGTGGATTGAGCATGGGCCTGTGAATCAAGGGGTCACCAGTTCAATTGCCAGTCAGAGCACTTGCCTGGGTTGCAGGACAGGTCCTCAGTTCTGGGTGCATGAGAGGCAACCCCATATTGATATTGGTCTCCCTTTATTTCTCCCTCCTTCCCCTCTGTCTAAAAGTAAATAAATAAAATCTTTTTTAAAAATTAAAAAAGAAGGACCTCAGTCCCTTGGTCTGGTATGCCCAAGTTGCCGGTTTGATCCCATTAGGGCATATATAAGAATCAACCAATGAATGCATAAATATGTGGAACAAAAAATTGGTGTCTTTCTCTCTCCCTTCCTTCCTCTCTCCCTCTCTAAAATCAATAAACAAATGC